TGTCACTCAATTAATAATAAACCTTGGATTCATAAAACTAAATGATGTGTTCATATTCTTTAAAAAAACAAAATGTTGAACATTTCATGAATAAATAAAACAAAGCAATATTTTAATATGGTCATATTTTAACACTTAATTCTAATTCCTGCAGCATCATTTCCGTGGCTCTGACCAAGATTACACATCGTCACTGTTGTGAGGATGGAAATAGAACAAGAACACTATGAGAGAAGAATCAGAAAGACTCTCAAACAAGCTCTGAAAGCAGCAAAATGGTTTGATCAATGAGATTAAACTGTTGTATTAAACATGAGAACACCAAAGCGGTTTCTCCGTTTCACAGCCAGAAGATGCATCTGCAAGTGTTAAAATATGAATATATTAGAAAAAGAAACAACTCAACTTGAGTTTTCCTGCAACTATCGTGTATCTAAGGTGTAAATATAAAATGCTTTTACCATCAAACTCTTAGTAAGATTTTGTATTTCCCATCTGCTTGGTTTAATGTACATCCTGGTTGGTGCAAGCTGTCACATTTTATGTTTCCTCATCTCACTTTAAAGCGTTTTCTGCTTGTTTGTTTCAGTACGGGAGCGTCGCTGCGATGGCCATCACTTTGTGCCAGAGTCTGGGCCAGAACATCGGCATGAGGTGGAACAACGCTCGAGCTTCTGCAGGTGAGACGACGGGAAACTTTTACAAAGCAGGAATCCAGAGTGAGCTGAATAAAGGAGGATGCTGGTGTTGAGGTAGAGAGAGATCTTTGGTATCGCGGTCCAGCAGCTCTCTTCTGTAATTAGACTTCTCCATTAGGTGATCAGTCAACTGCATCCAGGGAGGAGGAGCTGCTGGTCGAAGCTGCCAGAGAACAATGAGCTCAGTGATTAATGCTGAGGAGGCATCAGCTCCATTATTCACCGTCAGGACGTGAGATCAGTGCCGAGCCTAAACTTAGACATCAGTCCAACTGAAAGGCCTTCTTCAGTTATTAATCAAGTTTCTTATGTGTCACTGCTGAGATCATAAACGCTGATCACTGTATTATTTTATATCTTGGTTTATCTGCACTTTGAAGAAAAAAAAAATCTGTAGTAGCAGCAACGGTGCCAAAAAAAAAATATTTTAAAAAAATAATGGGAAAACTAACAGCAAATGACTGTAAACCAATGATTGAAATACAGTAAAATGGTGTAATTAAATAATTTTTTGTTCACCCAACATGTAAATTAACACTTTTTGGGGGGATAATTTTACTAGATTGTATCTGTGTTTTAATTAAACAATTTAAAATTATGAATTAAATTAATAAAATATCTGTTTAAGAATTCATGTTCAAGTTAATCAATTTAATTTAAATGTATTTTTAAAAAGTGGGATTTTACAGTCAGTTGTTGTAAAAGAATGAATTCATATTAGTAAAAATACTGTTTTTTGATGTGGATGTTATTTCAGATTAGATTCAACTTTACTGCCGTTACACACACTTGTACTAACGCAGCAAACAGAAGTATTTATAGTTTTGAACAGTCATCATGTAAATAAGTTTTTTCTCTCTCATTTTATTAAATATTATCTGGAATTTAACAAAACAGGAAAAACCTGTAAAATAACAGTTAAAGACAATGTTTTGCAATTTTTTTCAAACCTGAATATGCAAATGTTCTCTTTTTTCTTTCAAATAAAAGCAAATATAAGTAATAAAGTTTTTGTTTTGCTGATTTACATAAAGTCAAAAATGGTTTAACTTCAGTAAAAAGTTGGGAAAAAAACAAATGGCTGTAAACATAATGACATTTTTAGATAATTTAGTTGCAACAAAGCAGTTTTTTTCACAATCAACATGTACATTTTTTTTTTTTCTGTGATTTTACTGGATATTATTTGTTGTTTAACATAAAGGAGTTTTTTAATCTTAAACACAGAACTTTTTTGTCTTCAGTGACAACAAATATCTGTAAAATATCACTTATTTCTGCTAATTTATAAACTGTAAAACTGTCATTTTATGGTCGCAGTTAAAGAACAAGTTGCCGTTTGTAGATTACGCAGATTTTTTTTTTAAGGCTAATGTGTAAAATAATATTTGTTTTGCTGTGATTTTACCAGATATCAGTAATTTAACAAACAAGGAAAATCTGTATAATACCAGTAAATTGTTCATTAAATTACAGTTGAACATCTTTGATTTTGTCCAGTTTGTGTCATCTTCACCTCTCCTCTGCTTCACAGGAGACTGCAGGTGTCCGGACGCCTGGGTGGGCTGCATCATGGAGGACACCGGGTAAAGTTCCTCTAAGCTGTCATTTTCCTCTCACGTAAACTGTAAAACACCTGTAGCACAGAGAATCTTTGACTTCCGCTCAGTCCTCGCTGAGCCAAGCCGCAGATAACAGCCTTCAATCGACGCTTTTAGCAAATTTATTGCAGCATCACAGACGCCAGACCACGTAAGAATTAAAACCGGTGAATTAAATGTATTTACTACTGGAGCGGCTTGGATTCGGCTCTCCTTTTGCCAGATGGAACAATGCAGATCTCCATTATTCGCTTGAGTAATATCTTACTACAGATGGTAACATTTCTGTCAGATTGCAGAGTGATGGCACGGACACCCACAGCGGATCTGGCAACGCTCACTGGCAGGGAAGCACTGCGCTGTTTTTATTCTATTTTATCTGAAGTCTCGATCTTTGCGATTGCAGGTTCTATCTGCCCAGAAAGTTTTCGCGCTGCAGCATCGATGAGTACATCCAGTTCCTGCTCCAGGGCGGAGGGAGCTGCCTCTTCAACAAGCCCAACAAGGTGAGGGTCCTGTGAAGATGTGGTCCTGCATCTGAACAACATCACTGTCAGAGTCATGTGTAAACAGAATGCATGTTTACTGGGATTTGGCTCTGGATTATTTGAGACTATACTGATAAAAACCATCGAAGCAGTCTCTGCCCCAAGTGCTCCAGCAACACCTGAAATGCTGCCTGGATGGTAAACATATCAGACATTCCTTCAGTCTTTATTAAAGCAATCCCTTGAGGGCATGCTTTGTTCTACAATAATGTCAAGAGTACAATCAACACAACACATAGGCAACAATCAACTAGAAAACGACCAGTGATCATGGATTTCACCATTTCCCAACATGTCCAGTTAGCTTCAGTGTTTGCTGCAACATCTTTCTGGTGTGCGCAGCAGAAAAAACTAAAAGCAATTTTATCACTTCCAGTGTAAGAATGCACAACTTTAAGCCTTTGCCAACCACTTCAGTGAGCTCAATAATGAACTGGGGACCAGTTTAACAAGGAAGTTAATTACTGCGGCATCTTGGCATTCGGTGCCTCATAAATAAACAGAAGCCAATGTCTGTCTGGCTTCGCTGTTAAAGCTTTTTTCATAAAGCGATGAGTGGAATCACTGCCACAGGGGATTAATCTTTAGACCGAGTGGTAAGCTGAGAGTTTTTATGGTGGACAGCAACACGGATTGATTATTTGTTTTCTGCTAAACGTCAACAACATCATCCGCGATTAGTGCTGAAACTGTACAACCAGCGACCCTCCTACTTGAATTTCAATTTCTGACTGAAGTTCAAGGACAAATCCGAGACGCTCACCTCCTAGTGGTGCAAAACCATTTGTAGCATAAGTTCCACTGCTGATAGCACAGTTACTGCTCGGACATGTTGCTCCGTGTTTGTGCGTCACAGTCTCCGAACTTCTCAATCATCCCTCGTAAATGCTGGAGTTATAATGAAAAGATGAGACTTTTGGAGTCACTGTTTATTAAACATCTTTTCCGGATGCCTCCTGGACGTCTCCCTGGGGAGGTGTTCCAGGCGCGTCCCACCGGGAGGAGACCTCGGGGAAGACCCAGGACACGCTGGAGAGACTATGTCTCCCAGTTGGCCTGGGAACGCCTAGGGGTCCCCCCGGACGAGCTGGGGGAGGTGTGTGCGGATCGGGAAGTCTGGGCAGCTTTGCTAAGGCTGCCGCCTCCGCGACCCGACTCCAGATAAGCAGGAGAAGATGGATGGATGGATGAATGTTTATTAAACAATTCAGAAATGCATTTGACAAACTACTGTAGTTGGCAGCGTTGCATGAAAACACCGCTAGACTCCACAGCACCGTCTGCTCAGCTGTGACGCATACTCCGCTACATGTGCTGCAAACAGTCCTAAGACCATTGCAATCCTGCTCTGTTGAATATGATAACGCTTAGAGATTAATCGCAGCAACTGGACTTGCTTGGCTTCCTTGAAGACATTTCACCTCTCATCCACGAGGCTTCATCAGTTCTGACTGATGAGTTGGAGTTCCAGATACTTATATCCTTAACGAGGCATTAACACCTGAGTTTCGGTTTCATTTGGGGGTTTGTTGCTGCTCCCCCTTGTTAGCAACAAACCCCTAAATGAAACCGAAACTCAGGTGTTAATGGCTCCTTTAGGATATAAGTATCTGGAAGTCCCAACTAGTCAGTCAGAACTGATGAAGCCTCTTGGATGAGAGATGAAACGTCTTCAAGGACCTCAAGCAAGTCCAGTTGCTACGATTAATCTATGAGAATAACCATGACCTGGATGACTGAGAAGCTTCACAGACGTTAAAACTCTTAGATAACATCTTTTCCATTATTGTACTTTGTTTAAAAAATAAATAAAAAAGAAGAAGAACTAGGCCAATATCGGCTAATAAAATCGACTGACTAATATATCATCCAGGCTTTTCTTAGGCTCGTGGTAAACTTGCCTTTGCTGCCCAAAATTCCCACTATGCTACAAGGACAGTGGCGTGGATGCAGGGAATACATAGGCGCCAATCGTCTGCACGTGTATGCATCCTCTTAGACCAGAAAGCACCATAATTTAGAACAACTGCTCATCCGTGGTATCCAAAACCGTCAGCAAGAGAGAATAACACCAGCTTTAGAAGTAGTACATTACTTGTGCTTTACGATCCCCTCCGCTTATGTCTTTACTTCCAGTCAACAAGCTCCTATATGATTGTCACGTTTCATCTCTCATCCATCTGTCTGTCATTTATACATGCCTTCCTATATGTTGGCCTCTCTGTCTTTCAGCTGTTGGACCCTCCAGAATGCGGGAACGGCTTTGTGGAAGCAGGGGAAGAGTGTGATTGTGGATCCCAGGTGGTGAGTATCCAGCTGGACTCCATGTATAAAATGCAGCTCTTTGACCTGCTGCACCTACACATGATGTCCATGTATGAGAACCACAGATGGTGTTGTTTTTTTTCTATAGATCTGAGATGAATATTTGTTTTCTCGTCTGCAGGAGTGTGCACGTAGCGGAGGAAACTGCTGTAAAAAGTGCACGCTTACCCACGATGCCATGTGCAGTAATGGACTGTGCTGCAGTGGCTGCAAGGTGAGCCGACCTACATTACAAGGTGTCCGACAAGTGAGCTAGCTCAGTGTCAAATCCTCTTTTTATATGACAACGAAATCAGTCGGTAGACCAAATTAGTGAACAAAGAGCTGGAAATAATATCCTCTATGATTATTTCTGCTTGTGTCAAGGACAGTTTGGGAATCAAACAATGTATTTTGGCATCCGGCTTCTCAAGTTTCACTCATCAAGCTGGCAGAAGTAAAAAATAACTTCTAGAGATCTGTTGGATGTTGACTCGCACACAGTGAGATTTGAACATCTAAAGCTTTCATCTCGGGTTTTATCTTTTAAACAGATGAATGACGTTTCCCCTCTATATGTCATCAGAAGTGATTATATCTTAGGAGACGTTGAATGACAGACAAAAATCATGCTCTTGTGTTTTCTTATTGCTGTGTTTTCAGCCTGTATGGCACGCTTCAATAGGTGTATATTCTGTTTCTTAGTACGAGCAGAGAGGTGTGGTGTGTCGAGATGCTGTGAATGACTGTGACATCCCAGAAACCTGCACTGGAGACTCCAGCCAGGTACGGCTTTCTGTAAAAACAGCAAACACTGTAAGATGCTGTTAAACTCAGTATTCAGTGCATGGTGTGCTTTGCTTCTTTTGCAGTGCCCTCATAATGTCCACAAGCTGGACGGCTACATGTGTGATACCAGCCAGGTAAGGGCTGGTTTGTGCTACAATTTCCAATCTGCAGCTCAGTCTGTTGGTGTAACTGATTGGTTCTGGTTCACCTCTTCAGGGCCGATGTTACGGTGGGCGATGCAGGACTCGTGATGGACAGTGCAGAGGACTCTGGGGATACAGTATGTATACAACTCAGCATAACATCTCTTTCACCGAGAGTTACATGATTTGTACAGCAGGAGTGGCTTCGTCTCTGTGCAATATCGCTTGAATATCAGATGATTCCACCTCCGTGCTTCACAGTCAAGACGATGCATTCACTGTGGTTGTGCTGGTCAGGTTCACGACAAACATGCTGGACTCCATCTGAGCCAAACAAATTTATCTCATCTGACCAAAGAATGAGCTTTAAACATTCTTTAGGCTTCTTTTCACGTCATTCGGCAAAGTTTTATCTCGCAGTTTGATACCAAAGAACAAACAAGGGCGTTTTTCCTGAACATCATCCACAGAGGATGAAATTATACAACGGTCTTCACATTGTCTGAGCTGTCACAGGAACTCTGATTTCCATTGATAGCCCCTGTGCCAAGTCTGAAGCAGCTGATTCATTTGTTTTTCAGAGCAACATTGTGAAAGTAGTGCACTGTCATTTTAGGAGGACGACCTCTGCAGCTCTGATTAGTGGTACTATGGCTCCTTCTAAACCTCCTGATTTCTGCTGACACTGTGTTTCCATTGGTTTTTACTTGATCTGTCTGGATTCTTTTCCACCTTTATGAAATCTCACATTCTTTTTAAATTGTTTTCCATGCAGCACCATGGAGTGCTTCACTGTCAGGACTATGCATTCACTACATAGTTGTGGTGTTAACGGCTCATTTTAGACCATGTTTGTGCTATTAGGAAATCACAGCTTCTTTCAGTTTTGTTGCATGAGCTTCTACTTTGGGGCCTGAATGTTCAATATAGTCTTTATAAATATTTGTTTTTAATTGTTTAAGACTGTTTAAGAGGTGATGCAATTTTTAAACATGTGACATCTAAGCGATTTTGCACAGATGTATGCTCACTTCTTTGTCAGATTCTCCTTGTTGTCATCTAAGAAATCCTTTTTTTGTTGTTGTTGTGCCAGATTCAGCAGACAGATTTTGTTATGAGAAGCTGAACGCTGAAGGAACAGAGAAAGGAAACTGTGGTCCGGGTCCTGAAGGCCAAGGCTGGCTGCAGTGCAACAAGCCGTGAGTTACACAACCCTGATTCCCTTTACTGGTGTTCTAAAAGAGTGTGTTCACTTTATTTATCTTCTTCTTAGTATTACTATTGCATCACTTAAGTTTGAGGTAAAAGGATAAGACTGGCTTAATTTGGGGAGGGATTTTCAACTAATTCTGGTCAATAAAATCAAACCTATTAAAAAAAACATAAAATCACTGTACTGTTGCTTTCTGGTAGATCTTAATTTCTCTAATGTATTTGTGGCTAGAGAGCATTTGGCAGTTTATCTAACAGAGATGATATGAAAGAACATCTGCTGCATCAAATCCAAAAACCCTTTCTTACAACTAGATCACCCCAAACGGGTTTAGATGATATATTCAACCTAAAAACCCCAAAAACTGCAAAAGTTTTTTTTGTGCATTGTTCTCCCTCCTCTCTCGTTTCAGGGATGTTCTGTGCGGATTCCTGTTCTGTGCCAACGTGACGACGAAGCCAAAGTTTGGAGACCTGCAGGGTGAAGTGACCAGCTTCACCCTCTACCACCAGAACAAGTACCTGGACTGCAGGTAAAACCGTCGCCGCATTTAAGAGAGCATAAAGCTTTGTTGTCCCTCAGCGTTGTAACTCTAACCCTCCTCTTCCTCCTTCCAGAGGAGGCCACGCTCTGCTGGAGGACGGCTCAGACCTGGGCTACGTGGAGGACGGGACTCCCTGCGGTCCCAACATGATGTGTTTGGAGAGACGCTGCCTCCCAGTGGCGGCTTTCAACCTCAGCACGTGTCCAGGATCCAACTTCGCACGCATTTGTTCTGACCACGGGGTAAAACAACGCTCTCAGAAAACACTGGTTGGGTGAATTTCATGTGAGAAAGACAACATGTGGGTTAATAAAAGGCAAAATCTGGATGGAAAATTAAAGCTTTGAGAAGTCTAAGTTACATATCCACTGCCTCAACACCATTTTAGTTACTAAATAAATAAAGACTTGATTTGTGTAGCACAGTTCATACAGCAAGTGGAACTCAAAGTGCTCAAAAAGAGAATAAAATAAAATGAAATAAAAATAGTAGTGATAAAAGTTAAGACAATAAAACACAAGAGTCCACAGTAAATGTAATGATACCAGTAAATTACATGAAACGACATAAAAGTAGACATTAAAAGATTTATTTTTCTGAAGCTTTCATCTCGTCTTGGTTCTACTGTGAAGAACATTGAAGAGAGCAGAGGTGAAGGATCTGATTGGTCTAGAAGGGGCATACCTAACCAACCAGATCAATAGTAAGGAGCTACTCCAAATATTTAGCAACCAAAAGCAAAATGTCAGAAGATGAAATCTAAAATGAACAAGGCACTAAAGAAGAGTCAGTTTTGGTGGGATGTGCTGCTTTTCTTTTCTTTTTATTATCATCTGCAGTTTGTTTGAAGATTTCTGCGGAAGGTCAGCAAACAGAACATTACTGATCTGCTAGAAATAAAACCAGACCGGAAAGGTTGAGACTGTAAAATCCTTTTTTTTTGGCATGTTTCAAAGGATATTTCACAATGAAAGATGGCACAAAGGCTCTCTGCTACATGCCTTTTGTTCAAAGCTTTGTCTTTTTAAATAATCACTAAAGTGAGTCTTCCTTTCACTGGCGTTCACGATGAACATCTTAGTTTTGTTACTGAAAGTTTTGTAAAATCCAAATGCTAATGTTGCTGAGGCAAAATGACAGTTTGGGTTATCGACCAAGTAAGAAACGAAACTAGAACTTTATCATCAGAATAGATATGAATGAATCTATAGTAACTGTTAAGCACTTATACAGGAGCTGCTTGAGATACATGGGCTCATATCAAACTGTAATGTCTGTTTTAAAGATTTATTCTATTTTCTACCTTATTTTACCTTTTTTTTCTTTCCAGTTCAAAAGATGTCAAGGTTGAAACTGCTCTTAGTTAATCCTCTGAACTTCAAGCACCTTCTAGTTTTGCTTCGTTTTCATTGTTTTTATCATTGTAGGATCATTTTTCGCCACAATAATAATAAAGTCCTGCACCTCTATGGAAACAGCCATAGAACTCAAAAAAATGTCTTTTGTGCAGTATGACACAGTTATGATGTTAGAAATCAGAAGAAAGACAAAAGTTCTTAAGTTTTTAGTCTGTTTCCATATTTGGTTTTTAATTTTGATCACAATGAAGTTACTAATGGCTTCACAGTTGCACCAAGGAGCACAGAATTCTTTAATTTTTCACAGAAAGTGGTGGATGGCAAAGGTTTATTTATGACAGTTTGTGAATATAAATGGAGAATAAAGGGATTTAGAGAAAATATCACAATTTTCAGCTTAGATTTGCTTAATTTTACTGAATGAATGGCACTTCAGAGTTGAAAATATCCAGATTTTTTTCAGTTTTTAAACAGTGTCATGATGGGGATATTTAAAACCACTGATAGCATTCATTTTAAACCTGCTGGAGTTCAGAGGTTGTACTAAGCTTCAGCGTAAAACAGATTCAGATCCATGCTGTTTTTGCTCTGTCATCCCCGTCTTTGCTCATCTCTTCCTGGTTTTCATGTCTCTGTTGCAGACCTGCAGTAATGAGGTGAAGTGTATCTGTGACAGGGACTACACGGGGAAGGACTGCAGCGTCTTTGATCCGATCCCGGAGCCGACGGTCCCGACGGGCCCGGAGAAGAAAGGTCCATAGCGGCTCTGAGCCTGTCCTCGTCTCTCTCTCTCCTGTCTGCCGCTCATATCCCCCTCATAGTCTCCACCATCATCACTGTAGCCTCTTTATGGAGAGTTCACCTGAGTACTGTGAGAAATCAATATCTGGACCTGTACAGTTTGATTCTTCCTGCTGTTTGGTTGAGTGCGGGGGTGTGTTGAGACACATTTATCCATTAGAGCATATGTGTATATATACATGGAGGTTATTCCACCTTAAATCATCAGTGGCTTCTGCTCGACCATCTCCAACTTTCTCTTTTTTTAAATCATAAACTATCTTTTTCAAACTAGACTAATTAATCAAATAATTTCCAAGATTTTTTTTTTTTTTTTTAATTGCCTATCGACCCACTTTCAGCCCATTTTTTTTGCACACTGAAACTTACGACTGTTTGAATAACAATATCTATTAAACTATTAAAGATAAAAGCCTTAAAAAAAAAAAATGAGACAGCCTTATCCAAGTCGAACAACATATCAAACTTGCTCAATCAGTTATGAAAGTTAAACAAAAATAGCTTTCGTTTTGTTTTATTTTGTATTATTGTGACATGCAGCTACATATGATTCAGAAAATATCCCTAGTTGGTTTCTGCATTATCAGTTTTTTTACTAATGTGCTCAAAGATGCGACCTTTCATGGCGACTTCGATTCATTTTCATATTTCAACATAATCAGAGACTATTTGATCTACTTGTCCAATAAAACTGATTCTACATTAATAACATGATGGGAAAGAACAGTGAAAAATTCAGGCTTTTATCTTTAATAGTACCTGAGATATAGACATAAACTCAGATTTCAAAATGCAAATCTCTGAAGCTGTTTGACCAAAAAACAAATGGCTATTTGTCCTGCAGAGATTTGCTGTGTACTTAGACGTTGTGCCGCCTCCGATGTGACTGATGGTCTCAGTTGTTCAAAGGACCCGTTTCCACCATTTAATTAAATACAAGATAGAGACTTACTGATTTAGACGGACCTTTTAGGTTGCAAACATTACCTCCACCACAATTAGAGGTTATTTCATCTACTTGTCCAATTCTGCCGATTCTGAATCAATGACTTGATGAGAAATAATGGTGAAAATTTACGCTTTTTAAAAAAATCTTTAATAGTTCTTGAGATATTGTGGTTCAAACAGCCTCAAATTTTAATGTGCATAACTATGTCCCCGAGCATTTCATACAAATTTTTATCTCAGAAAATGGTCGATATATTAAGCTAAAATTTCAGACATCTTTTTAAATATCCATATTTTGCACTGCTAGAATTTTAGGCAAATCAGAAAAAAGGTCGAGCGGGAATTCAGTTCTTAAACTTGATGATTTGAGATGGAATAAGTCCAGTATGTGAGTGCATGTGGTGCTACTGTTTGTGTTTTCAAGTGTCTTCCTTACTTTCTTGCAGTCTGCCAATGAGCAGCTGCTCTTTAGGGCCTAAAAAAAGTCCACCCTGAGCAGCTGAAAGAGCAGGAGAGGGGGAATGAGAACAAAGTAATGAAACACTCTCTCCTTTGTTTTTTTTAACTGTTGTCTCCCCCTGACCCTCCCCCTTTTTGCCTCACCCGCCTGTTCTCCCATCTCCACCCAAACGTGCTGGTTCTCCTCCATCTTTCTATTTCTGTCTGCAGGTATCTTTACCATCTATATCTCTCTCTCTCCAGTTGATGTGGTTTGATGTAGTGTCGATGCTGTCTTCTGACGTGTGTTTTTTAGTGGTGTTGTTTTGTTTTCTGCCCTTCCTCTTCCTCCTCCGCACCCTTCCTCTTCCTACCTTCCCCCCCTCCTTCCTCTGCGCAGGTCCCAGTGGCACCAATATCATAATAGGGTCCATCGCAGGTGCTATTCTCCTGGCAGCTATAGTCCTAGGGGGAACAGGATGGGGATTTAAGTAAGAGTTTCTGGCATGCCTTTGTGTACCTGTCTGCTTCTACCTAAAGGAAACCTCCCCCCCGCCCCTTCCACTCTCACCCCTCTGGACATAGATGCAACTCATTGCCCGACCCAGGGGAGGGAGTCTAATGCTGCTTTTGGCTTTCAAATCCGCTTTGTTTTCTAATATTCAAGCTCCATCCTGCATCTTCCAGAACTTGTAGTTACGACAGGGCAGGAATGAGATATTTTACTGCCAGGAACCGCTGCACCACTTTTCTCAAAGCGAATGCAATGCCTTAGAGAAACATTCACCCCTCCTTGGAAGTTTTCCGTTCTCGTTTAAACACTGACAATGGACGGTTTAATTTAGCTTTGTTTGACAAGAATATACCTTTTTCAAAAAAAAGGATTCTTTCATGTCAAAGTGAAAACAGACTTCTACAAAGTAATGCCCATTAGCGAAAAATATAAGGTTTGAAATAAGTGATTGTATGAGCATTCACCCCTTTGTAGTGATTCAACTAATTCAACGCAGATGCACATTAGAAGCTTTATTGTCATTATAATGCAATGCAATGCAATGCCATCCATCCATCCATCCATCCATCCATCCATCCATCCATCCATCCATCCATCCATCCATCCATCCATCCATTATCTTCCACTTATCCAGATGCAGTGCAAGATGGAAATACAGCAACACTTTTAAGGGAGTAAAATGTATACAAAACAAGAAGTCTATAAAGATCTTGCAAAAGGCAAAAAAAAAAAGTCTATAAAAAGTTTAAAAAGATAAGTCACAGTTAGTGAAACGAAGATCATCTGAGTGCAGTGATGTGTCTCAGTGATTGTAGTATAAAGACACCACTCACTGGTGAATCACTACTCCTAAATAAAACTAAAAGAAGGTTCTGTGGTCTGATGAGTCCATCAGACCAGATGCTATGTTTGGCAGACACCCAGACACTGCACATCATCACAAACACACCATCCCCACTGTGAAGCATGGTGGTGGCAGCATCATGATGTGCTCCTCTGCAGCAGGTCCTGGAAGGCTGGTAAAAGTAGGGCATAAAATGAATGCAGCAAAGTATAGAGAAATCCTGGAGGACAACCTGATGCTGTCTGTAAGAGAACTGTGACTTGGGAGAAGATACAGAAACAGCCGAAGCTACAGAAATGGTTTAAAGACGACAAGGTGAATGTTCTGAAGGCCGAACTGGAGGCCCCAGACCTCAATCCAACTGACTTGTGTCTGGACTTGACGAGGGCTGTTTACTCATGATTCCTGTGTAACCTGACAGAGTTTGAACAGTTTCACAAAGAAGAATGAGGTTAGCATCCAGATGTTCAGGCTGATTGAGACCAACACAAGATCAATGCTGTAACTGCAGCCAAAGGTGCATCTACTGAATACTGACTGCAGTCACTCATTTTATGTTTTGTATTTTTAATTAGCTGACGTTACTTTGTAGAAATCTGTTTCCTTTTTGACATGAACAAATCTTTGTGGTCAATTCTTGCCAAAGGAGCCAAATTAAATTGACCATGATATTGAAGATCTATAAAACGGGAAAACTTCCAAGTGGGTGAATCCTCTTTACAGGCACTATGACATACTTTACTGGTGCCACATCTGGAAGTTCCCCCTACTTGCAGTATTTCCCTAACCTATGTGTTCTTTAAATTGGGTCAACTTAAGCCCCTTGTTATTTACTTTCCAGCCTGCATTCTTCTTGTTTCTCTGTAGGAAGCATCCTAACCCCTCGCTGAAGTGCTTCCTCCGCACTTTTCCACCTTTGCATGCTCGCTATTGTTCACTCCTTATGGTCTGACCTAAACGGACTGCTCCTGCTTCCTTCATACATGATAAAGAGGATTAAATCAAAGAGAATTCTGGCAGATAAAAAGCACATCTCATGATTTGTAGCATGCAGTCAGTCCTTTTAGGGCCAGAGGTAAGTGTCTGTGCATGTGTGCATGAGCTGTTAGCAGAACTTTTTTTTTTCTCCGTAGTTAGATCGCAGATTTGGAAGTTAGTAGTTTCTGGTGTTTATTAGCTCTGGCAAAACTACTGTAGACCTGCTGCATGTGACACCAGCACGAAAATCTGGCAAAAAAGATTTACACTCTAAAAAATAATGTTTGGGCTCAGCAAAAAAAAAAGAACCAATCTGTTCGACTGGTGTCAACTTCTAATGAGATGTTCAACAAACTGTGAGTTTGGACAATTAGATTGTCCTCTGTAATCAAAGGCATTTGAAGTTGTCTGAGATAGAGGAGGAGGCTTGAAATGATTCACTCACTGTGAAGAAAAATTAAGTTAACAAGCCAATTTCTTTAAGTTACCTCAACTTGAATTTAGTTTTAATTCAACCACTGCAGAAATTTGAGTGTAAATTATACATTATATTAAGCTGAAGCAACATTATCTCAAAAATAGGTTTCCTGAATCAGTCATAGCTATACTGATTTATATAAATCAGTATAGAAATGAATCTTGGATCCATGTATTTAATTAAAAGGCAGAAATGGGCCCCTTTAATTACTTTTTAGAGTGTGGGGATTTAATAAAGGATAAAATGACTGACATTGTTTAATTGCCGTTTGTTGTGGCCAAATCTTATCAACCAGCCCAACATGACAGACTGAAATATTGGTTCACGTTTTACGTCAGCAAATCACAATAAATCCTGTTTTAATTAATTATATTTAGGGGTTAAATTGGGTCGGAGCTCCATGTGACTCAGTTAATGGTTTAGCAGCATTTTCAAACTTTAGAAATCTGCTTTCAGACAACATCCCGTGCTGAACGTAGCGCATCCTCTGATATGCCACTGTGACTGCACACAGCCTTATTTAACCAGCTGCTGTGCACAAATTCAAAGTTTCTGCAGTGAAATTATTGGGAACAAAGAAGTCATGTTCAGCATGAGTTCAGCAGCTTCTTTTCCATTTTCAGGATAGGTCCAAATGTAGTTTCACCTGGAAAATCGTTCATGTTTTCTTACTTATAAGGTGAATCACTGCTCTGAGTTCTTCAGTTTTTCTATTAAAATGCATCAGTATTTGTAGTAGAGTAAAGATAGTCAGCTAGTAATGAAGATACAATTTATGATATCAAACTTAGGGGTACAGGCCTGCATACGTGGGCTGTTATTGTGTTTTCAGTTTCATAGAGCGTCACTGAGGTGAATGTTTTTCTTCAGATTTCTTTAAAATATTATTTCATTTCAAATTGGCAAAAGATAAAGACAAAATAAAACTATCTGAAATGAGAATCTTTGCATCTGGGTGTGTAGATAATTAGATTGAATTTGAGAGGTTGGACTCTGACGGTGGAAGCGAAAGGAATTTAGCTTAAAAAACAACACGTGGAAGAACAATTTCCCTCCACTGTAAACGACTTAATACTGTACAAATACTCCTTATTTCTAGTCTGTGACCCTGATTTCACTGCACATGATCTCCTCCTCCTCAAAAACCCACATTTAACCCCTGATTATAAGATCTTCTTTTGGCACAGCTACTCTGTTAATGTTTGTCTGTTGCTTTTGACGCAAGTTCTAATGCAAGACGATCAGCTTCATGATGTGCTTCTCACACAGTCAGCTTGTTCTCTATTGTTGTTAATACATTATGTCTTTATATCTTGTCCTCTCTTCTTTCGTGCTCATGGGATGCAGGAACATTCGAAGAGGAAGGTAAAACCTACAAAACCCTAAAGCATCGCTCGTCATCGCATCACAAATTGTATGAATAATTCAAAAACAGAGATTTTTTATTTCTCCTAAGAAAAATTTATATCATGGGATTATTTTTAATTTCTTTTTTTTACAGTATTATATCACTATTTTACATATATTTGCATAATTTTCTAAATTTGTACATTTTTTGAAAGTTGCAGTATCCCACCATTTTCTAACCTGTTTTTTTTTTTTTTCCGGCACCGTTGCTGCCAGATTTTCCCTCTTTTTTCCACTTTCTTACAGTGTATGTAACCGTCTACAACGGTATTTCTTGTGTTAATAATCCCCTTGTTGTCGTTTCTCTTCCAGATCTGGTGGAGGATAAGATCTGTCTGTCTTTCTGTCTCTGTGTCTCGTCCACTCCCGTCTTCCTCCTCGCACTGTGTCGTTTCCACATTGAAGAAGAGGGGAACAAAAAACAAAAAAAAGTCTTCCACTACGAGTCCCACAATCCCTCCGAAACCTCTTCCGTTAATCGTGTTTCCCTCCTCCACGCTCCTGTCGGCTCCTTTCGTCTTGTTGCTGGAGAATCTCTACGCCAAACCAGCCAGAACCAGAGGATTGTGTCCTGGCCGAGCAGGTGGTTCTACGAATGTGCTTCAGTGTCTGTTTACGTCTCGGACAGTCTGATAAAGAAAATCTCAACGGAGGACCAATTTAACGTGAGACTTGTCTTTCCAATGCCTGCCTGCCTGCACACCGACTGACTGAAGCGGCCACGGCTGGAGAACACAGACAAACAGTGGAGGGACGACAACACACCACGCTGGAATCAGAGTTTCTTGTAAAGGAAGCCCGGCCTCGACGAGGTGCATCTCAACAGGAACAGCAGTCAACATCCCAGCTAGCGGGGAACGTTCCCAAAACATGGTAGAACACAACCTACGAGTTCCAATCATTTTTAAACGTTTTAATCTGACGTTCACACAACAGATATTTGTCATTTTCAACAGTGTTTCTGTAAAAGTAAAAAATAAACTTTTAGCTGTTAGCGGGACGTTGTCGGGAACAACGACATGTTCCATGATAACTAAGTTCTCAAGCAACATTCAAAAAAATGTTTTCCAGATGTTATCGAGTAATAGAACGTTCTTCTATAAAACGTTTTTGCAAACTGTCATTATGACAAAAAAAGGAACAAACTAACAATCTAAGAATGTTTTCCAGATGTTATCAAGGCCTCACATCACAAAATATCTTTTTGTTAAGAAAACATTCTAGAACGTTCTTCTGTAAGACGTTTCCATAATGGCAACAAAGGAAGGATGTTCTCGAGGCAACATTTGGAAACATTTTCCAGATGTTATCGAGGCCTCAGATGTTTTTTTTATAAGACGTTCCTGATGTGACATATTAACAATTAAGGTGAACGACTCAGCCGTAATGTTCTGAGGATGTTTTGGGAATGATGTTAAGGGAACACATAACAGGACGTTCTCCTATAAAACAATGTGCTGTGACAACAAATGGAGAACGCTCTCAAAGATGTCTTCGAGATGTTATCGGGGCATCAAATGATAATGTTTTTTTTTTTTGTATGGAACGTTTCTGGAACATTCCTGTAATAGGACATATACGTGTTTCCATAATGAAAAACATTACAGAACGTTCTTCAGTAGGACGTTTCCACAATGACAGTGGAGAAAGGATGTTCTCAATGCAACATCCGGGGAATGTTTTTAAGGTGTTACCGAGGCGCCAGATGACGAAACGTTCTCTGTAGGATGTGCATTAACAAAAGGTAGAACATTCTGCTGCAATGTTCTGAGGATATTTTTGGGGTGTCGCTGAGGAAACACATTGTTCCCGCAATGTTCCATAGTGTTAGACGATAACAACGTTCTTAGTGCAGCATTAAGTTTTTAGAACGTTAAGGCATAATACTGTGATAACGTTCTCACCAAACATACGCAGAACATCTTCAGAAGAACATTCTTGGAACTATAAAAAAAAAAAAACTTCCCAATGAAACATTTTTAGAACTTTCTCAGAACAATCCCAGCTAGCCGTGTTGTTCCTACAACGTCCGCTAACATTACATAAAGATTCTAACAATGGAGAACGAATTTTATTTTATTTTTAAAAAGAACAACATTTTTTAGGGTATATCTCATTTCAAACAATGTTCCTATGAGGTTCAAAAGTGTAAGACTAAACACTGTAGCTGCAACAATCAGAAAATGTTTGAAGAACATAATGATCTTACAATGTTATGACCAAACATTTTGAATTATCTTTAAAAAGCTCTATCCTGCCTTTTAAGAAGAACATTTTGGGAACTGAAAATATATATATATCCCACTGAAACATCACCAGAACTTTCTCAGAACATCTTTAGAACAAAACAAAAATGTTTCCACAACTTTGGCTGACATTGCCTACAAGTTCTAATCATGCTTTGGAAAAAAAAAAAAAACATTTTGATCTAAAGGATATTGGAAGGATGTGGTTCCTACAACTTTGGATATTTTAGCAAAGAGAACATTTTGCTACAGTACATTCTGGGGTTGCTGTTGTGGAACATTATTCCATAAAACATTCTAACAACGTTACATGATCTCAAAGGAAAGACATTTTGAGTGTTTTAAGAACGTTTTAGAATGTCTTTCCCTAAGAAGAACATTCTGGGAACGAAAACATCCCTAGAGCTTTGTACAAAGACAAAAAAAATCCTAGCTGGGATGGAAGTAACTGGAGAATACATGGACTGTAGTTGGGATGTTTTTTCCAAAGAGAGACTGAGGAAGAACTTGTTTAAAGCTCTTTGTTCTTACCTGCCCTCCCGTCCACCTCCACCAACACTCCCCTCACAGGTTTTCAGGTACAAAATTAAAATTACAAAAAAAAAAAAAAAAAAAAGGGAAGCTGGGTGTTACGGTTTTGGGATCATTTAAAAAAACAAAACGAAAAAAAAAAACTGAACTATGAAGCAGCAGAGACCGAAACTTAGTGTTTTCAGCGACAGACCGACCAACATACATTCCACTATCTGTGTCTGTTCACCACTTTTCAGGCCCAAAGTTTCTTAGGAGGTTTACTCTCTTTGTGTGTGAATGTACGAGTGATTTTTAAAGAAAAGGACGAATGCGTTTACATTAGTGTTCGGGGCAAGTTGTGTCCACTTTAACACTCCTCCTATCACAGGTAGATAGGCGGGGTTTTTACCTCTAGAAGATCATCTCTTTCTACGAGCTGCAGCAGCCATGGCACCATAAAGGCAGCAGCACATCAATACAGAGTTTTTAAATGTCATGTACCTACAAGAGAAAGAAGAAAAAAAAAAAAAAAAGACGAGCACTAGCCAACTGTATGCACACCCCGTTTGTAAATACGTGCAAGATTATACTGAATGTTAAATGCAAAATGTATGAAGATTTATTTAAAAAAAAGCTATGTTCAAATAATGAGTTTGTGCTGCATCCGCGAATCTCCTCCTGTAGCCGTCCGTGCATCTTTAAAAGCGGCTGAACAGCTGAGCTAGCCACCTTCTCATCGACTCCCCCCCAACCGTCATGTTAGCCGTCACCGAAATGTCATGAAATCTTTTTGTACATTTGTCGATAGCCCAGAAACTTTGTAATGACCCTCCCCCCCTTCCCCCGTTGTCCTTGCTGTAAATGAGATTAAAGATGTGGTTCTGGGGGTTTCAGGAGGCAGCTTGTCAGATACTGTATGTGTGTATGAGGTCAGTTCGAGCTTTGCACTATGGCAGATGCACTATTGTTGTTACAATATGTACAGAGTTGGTATCAAATACAATCGGGAAAGAACAAAAAAAAAAAAAAAAAAAGAGAGAAAATGAGATGCATCCCACCCCATATTTTTAGACACTATCTTTTTGAATTGAATATGAAAGGAATGAACTAGAGCTTGTAAAATGGAGGGAAAAATAAAATACTAAAACATGAAACTGCACTTTCTGCTCTCACGTCTCGCTGTTTTTCTGTGTTGGTAATTCAGGATTTTTAATTTTTTTTTTTTGATGCAGTTTAGTGCTAGAGCAAGCAGGGTTTTATTGTTTTTCTAGGACACCATCCATAGAGGTTGATGTTATGAACTGTCCTTCACATGTCACAGGAACTCTGATTTTTATTAATAACAAGCATGATGGGATCCGTAAACTAATATTTTGTTGAACAACCCTTTGAGCCAATCAAGTGTTTTCTAAAACTCTCAATCAGACTTCTGCACCTGTTGACAGGGATTTTGATTTTGGCCATTTTTTAAAAATTATTCTTTTAACCACAATTCAAAAGCAATGTCTTATTTCACAAAATTATAATTTAGCAAATTTTTATTTATTCTTACTTTTTTCAGTTTCTAGTTATTTGAGTGACTGTTGAGAATTTTTCCTTTTCTTTAATGGAAGCGTATGAATACATTTGACTACGACTGTACTTGCCTGTTTTTCACAATTAGATTGTAAAAGTAGTTCTCTGTCTGTGGAGTCATTTCAGCAGCACGACCACTGCAGCTCTGATTAGTGGTACTATGGCTGCTTCTATATCTCCTGATTACTGTGTTTTACTGATTTTTTGTGACTGACTTATCTTCCTGTGAAGTCTCAC